TCTAGGTTTATTGCGATGTAGTTAGATTTTGTGACTAAATAGTAGTGGAGCAAAGACTCGCAAGATCAGGGTTATTTCAGTGGATGTCTATAGAATGGCTACTCCCAGCCTCTGTAGCTGAGGACAAGCAGGTGATTCTCTGGGATTCTAGGTATTCTGCATTACGGCAGTGTGAGCAGGAGGGTGGCTTCCTGTTTCCTAAGGCAGCCCATCCTCCTGCTTCCCCTTCTTCCTCTCTGTTCCCATTTGCATGGGATTCTATGCCAGGTGACATGAGAGGCACTGTCGGTGGATGATAAATGATGTTCAGTGTGACCTTTGCATTGAAGGAGCCTAAGATCTGCAGTGGCAGCAGAGGACCAGAGCTTTAGGAAAGTTTCATCCTTTGAGAAACACCTGTCCCCAGCGCATGGGGAATGGCCCAGACACAGAGGGCTCTGTGAGGTCAGGTAGCCCAGACGGTCCCCGCAGGCAGGGTGAAGGGCAGTGCTGATGGAGGTCTTCCTCCAGAGGACAGAGACAAAGGGGCCCCTGCTCCCCAGTCCTCTGCCTCAGTGTGGGCTCCTGAATCTCCTTTTCTATGACCCTCCACCTGCCTGAGCAAATCCAACGGCACCTCAAAGCCCAGCACAGTGCTGCTTCCTCCAGGAAGCCTTCTCAATCTTCCCAAGTGAAAGCACTGCCGGGACCTCTGACTTTCTAAGGTACTTGATCTGCACTTCTCTTACACACGAAACGGTTTCCATTTCCTCTAAACAGTTTGCCCTGGTCTTTCTTCTCTCGCTGTCAGGTAATCAGAGTTGGGTCCTTAAAACGTCTTACTCATTGCTGCATCACTGTGGCCTATCAGAGTGCGGCTTCCTCCACTGCAGGTAATCAACAAGTAACTGTTGAATGCAGACATCACTGTGTGTCCACAAGAGGATCACGAAGGCTCAGAAAAGGTAAGAACCCCAAAACAACCCCACAGCAAACCCAACTAAACATGTGCTTGGGGGCATATAATTTGGAGGCAGCAAACATTCACTTTCTACCTTACCATCCTGAAGAAAAATAAGTTTTCAGATGCCTAATAATAATAAGGTAAGTGAAATGTAAATACTGTGTATCCTTGTTGGGCGAGGTGGTTCATACCTGTAATCCCATCACTTTGTGAGGCTGAGGTGGGCAGATCACTTGAGGCCAGGAGTTCAAGGCCATCCTGGCCAACATGGTGAAACCCCATTTCTACTAAAAATACACAGTTAGCCAGGTGTGGTGGCATGTGTCTGTAATCCCAGCTACTTGGGATGCTGAGGCAGGAGAATAACTTGAACGAGGGAGGTGGAGGTTGCAGTGAGCTGAGATTGTGCCACTGCTCTCCAGCCTGGGCGAAGAAAACAACAACAAAATACTATATATTCTAAGATTTTGGAATCTTGCTGTTGATTTGGGTCCCTATATGTAATCAAATTCAATTTTGTATGTAGTACTTTTAGGATATAACTTATGGAATGTTCTGGAATGCCTCCAGGGACAGAAAATCAGGACATACTACGACAGGGCCTCAGCACTCATGCCCTTTAATCGTAAGGACTTTCATTCTTGGTCTGAGAAAGCATTTGCCTCCCTGTAGCTCCCGCCACCAATTTTCCAACGGCTAATGCGGGATAACCCTGGGCTCTGTCTCCGCGGCTGAGGGACTCCCTGTGGACCACACGTGGGTCACAGCTGTGGAGGATCAGAATGAGACCAAGGGTCAGGGATGGGACACAAGCTGGTCTGAAACAGCAGGAGAAAGGAGGCCATGCAAATCCAGCGCAGAAGCAGGCAGTGGAGGGCAGGCTTCCCGTAGGGGAACATTTTGACCTGACACCCTCAGACCGCGGTGTGGAAAGGCACAGCATTCAGCCCCAGATGGTTCTGACTCCCAGTCCCGAGCCATTGCTATTGTTCTGTGATTTGGGGAAAGAGATTATCTCTCAGAGCCCCAGTTTGCCTTTAGAATGCTTACAAAACTGCCCACCTGGTCCACTGGGATGAGCATTAATGACTGTCGTGCATTCGGCATAGGACCTGACGTCTCATGGTCCTAGGAGGATGAGAACTGCTCTACATCCTCTTTATTTTTTTGAGACAGGGTCTTGTTCTAGGGTGATGGTGTGATCTTTTTTTTTTTTTTTTTGGGTGCAACAGTAATGAAAGCAGTTTCTGAGCCTACTCCTCTCTCTGCTGGCTCTGGGTTAGGACTTCTCTTTTCTGAGAATCTGCTCTGTTGTTTCTCTCCCAGCTGGTTTTCTATGCTTACTCATCTTGCACCCATAATAGCTGCTTCAATGGAATTTATACCCCTTCTTTCTAGCTTCGGCACCAACCACCAATTGTCAATATTTATCCTTTTACCCTATTTAAAATCTTTGAGAAGGAATCAGGTTGGTTTCAGCCTTTTTTTTTTTTTTTTTTTTTTTAATGATGCAGTCTGAGGGACGTTATAAAAGGAAAGAACAGGTTAGCTCAGATTTTCATATTTCAATAGTTTTTTTTTTTATAAGAAAAAGAATAAAGAAGAGGAAGAAAGAGAAAGATGGTGTGATCTTGATTCACCGCAACCTCAACCTCCGGGCTCAGGTGATCCTCCCAACTTAGCCTCCTGAGTAGCTGAGACTACAGGCATGTGCCTACCACACCCAGCTGCTTTTAAAATTTTTAATTATTATTACTATTATTTCGTAGAGACAAGTTGCATTGTATTGTTCAGGCTGATGTACAACTCCTGCTGAGATTATAGGTGTGAGCCACTGTGCCCAGCTCAGGATTCTGCTTTTTCTTTTTTTTTTTTTAAAGATACCTTTTCAAAAATGACAGTCCTTGAAAAAACTAAATTGAAAGTTCACAATTAACATGAAAAATGGTGACGGGGAAGTAGTCTCTGTGTTATAAGCACAGCGTTGGCTAATGTGTCAAAGTCCTACACTTTCCAAAGAAGACCACAACTTTCTGAATGTGTCCCGAATGGGATAAACTCAAATGATAATATAATACTATTTTATAGGCATTTTATGGGCTAAGCCCTGACAAACATGACCTCTTTCTGAATTTTTTCCTCTCCCTCCTCCTCTTCAAAGGTGTTCTTTTGAGGAACCTCATGATGTAGAAAAAACACATCTTGATTGAGTGATGCTCACCTCTCACCATCTGCTCTGATCCTGGAAGGAAGGACCCCCAGCCCTAGGCTGCCCCTGTCAGCAGACACAAAACCAGAGCTGGCAGTTTAACTCGAGTTTGGCATCAACTTAGGCAGTGCAGGTTTTCTGTTTGAGCTTTGTGCTAAAGATGATAAATCTCTTTTATAATGAAGACGGTCTTGCCAGGTTGAGGCGTACACCAACAAGGGGGAGGATGCTGCAGAAAATGAGTGATTTTTAGATGTCAACATTGTGAACACTCCCTGTTAAATGTAGCCTAGTCATGAGAAATGAAAATGCCAAGTGAATGAGGGGAACACGCCTATGCTGGCGGGCACCGCGTGCCAGGCGGAAGGCTTTCCTGTGGCAGTGTCTCCTCCCCAACACTCAGTATCCAGCATCAACTCCTGTAACGAATACATGCAATTTGTTGATGAAGAGAGAAATGTGGAAGAACAGGGTTCGTCAAATAAAGGCAATATCTTTCTTTCTTCCTAGGTTCACACCTTAAGTTATAACAACCGAAAACCAGCACACCGGTGATTTTCTCAGACTGCTGAGGCTCTAAGGCCATTGTTCTCTGTAAGTCACAGCACAGTTTCATCATTGCACTTCCATTTCTAGGATTAGTGAGTACACTGTTACGACAGTCATCTAGAAGTGGAGTGTCAGGGCCACATTCCAAGGGATCTCAGCTATCCTTTTGAGGTTGGGAATTTACAGTGATCTTGTAAATGTACAAATAAATTCATAGAAAAAGAAAAATACTTTAGAAAGAGCATCATAATTTGTCAAGACATTCAGAAATAGCTTTGTGAAATTGTACGGTCTTCGACATAAGCATTAGTTGTAGGTATTCTGCAGTTATGTAATTGGTCTCTAAACAGACAGGTGCTATTAGCTTAGAAATCACATACAGCAATTTATAATGGATGCTGCTTCTGAACTGTCTTTTTGTTTTCGTTTGAGACAGTCTTACTCTGTTGCCCAGGCTGGAGTGCAGTGGCACGATCTTGGCTCACTGAAACCTCTGTCTCCAGGGTTCAAGTGATTCTCCTGCCTCAGCCTCCTAAAAGTAGCTGGGATTACAGACACGTGCCACCATGCCCAGCTGGTCTCAAACTCCTGACCTCAAGTGATCTGCCCGCCTTGGCATCGGCCTCTCAAAGTGCTGGGATTACAGGCGTGAGCTACTGTGCCTGGACTGAACGGTCTCCATGGTAGGTTTCTCTAGACAAATGGGAGAAAGGTGGAGAATAAGGGGCTGTCCCCATTCACATGGAGAGGTCGGGGCCCAGGTGAGCCCCAGAGGGGCTGGGACAGATCTGCTGGTGACACTTGGTAGAGGAATGACATCGCTTCCCATTCTGCTCAGGTGTGAGGCTTTGGGCAAATCGTCCCATAGCTAACCAGCTTTATCTTTGACTGATCTTCAATTTCTCTTTGGCCTAATGCCAAGGCATTTGCTTGCAAAACATGGGCTGATAATGCTAGAAAATAATAACAATTCTCTAAGTTTTTGCCAAAATTCAAGGGAAATGGTAAGTGGAATATGGGATTGACTATGCTCCCAGGAAAAGCGTTAGCACGGTTGATCTCACATTCACCTTACCTGACCAGACAACACACACGCACTTTTCCTTCGATATCTTAGTGACTGCTTCTCTTTCCGTGTGACTTATATCTTGGAATTGAGGGGGATATACTAGACAGCACATTTATTTTCATTCACTGCAATATCGAAGGAAGGAACTTTTCTCCGTGAACGCTGTGATGCGCGCATTGGCATTACTGAGAAAGTATGTCGAAAGGCCCCGGGGAAGCCTGAGCTCTTACTTTCCTCCGAGAGGTCGTTCTCCTCTGCCTCCCTCTCCATCTCTTTGCACCAGCCTTCCATCCTCTTCGTCTCGGAGTGCAGGAGCTTCAAGAACCACGAGCCATCCCTGCGGCAGGGAGACATCCGCCCCGTCTCTACCGTGTCGAGGGCGGGCTCCAGCCAGGGGTCCGGAGGGGGCAGGGTGGAGGTATCCACTTGGGTCCGATAGTCTTCTCGATAGCTGAAGAGCCCCTGCGTCCGTACAGTTCTCACCGCGCCATACTGGGTGGGGGTGCTGGGCTCGGAGTGCCGCTGGAAGGATGAGCCAAACTGGAGGCCTTTGTCCTCCATGGTGATGTGGCCCGGGAACCCCTCTAGCTCCAGGTCCGCTTGGACGGCGGCCGTGACGCTGTTAGAACGTTTAAAACGTCCGTGTCTGCAAAAGGAGGGAAGGAAGACAGATGGTAGCCTTTCTGAGAGAGCTGCCTGCAACAAAATCCCACAGGTAGCTTATCGAGAACACTCCTAAAGGCAGCAGCCTAGCAGCTCAAGGACGGGTGAGTGCTTTGTCCATGAAATATGCTGCTGTTTCATCTAGGGAAGAACGTTTGTTTTTGCAAATAATTAAACTTTTAACATCTACTTAAGTCTTAAGGCCTAAATAATGCCCCCTTGGGATTTAAGTTTATTGAATGATGCAATGAGTGTGCGTTTCATGAAACCACTATCAGTAAATGGCTACCTCCCTATCAGAAAGAAATATGCTACAAGCTTATGCGACTGAGGCTGTGGGTTGCTGCTTGTGTGTGAACAACATCCACATCATCCTGTTTTAGTGGCTTCCAAATTGTGTTTCAGGGCCCAAGCCACTTCTCTCTGGATAAATTAATAGGTCCCCATTCCCCCCTGTATGCAAAATAATGACTCTGAAAATCCGAGTTTGGTGGCTGTTTGAAAGTGAACGTGTTTTTCACTGTCATCCATTTCCATATAGCTGATCACTGAAAGAATCAGTAGGAAGGAGCTTATAATTGGAGACCGGTATGCTGAGCGAGAATGCTGTGTGCATGTGTTGTGCACTGTGTGTGGGGTGTGTATATATGTGTATCTTTGTAGTGCCTGTGTCTTGTCGTGTGTGTCTCTATGGTCTGTGTGCCTGTGCAGTGTGTAATGTGTATGTGTGTGTGCGTGTGTGTGTCTGTGTGGGTGTCTCTGTGTGTCTGTACATCTCCAGATACTGCAGCTATCCCTGTGGCTGTGCAGGCTAAACCCCCAGGAGCACACAGCTGTGCGTGCAGCTGGTTAGTGACGTTGCCATGTGCTCCCTTTGCTATGGGGACGGACACTGAGCCGCAGATCAGGAGGAAGGTGGCTTGCCCGGTCCCCAGGTGCAGAGGATGGCCAGGGTGTAGGACAACTACCTGGAAACTGGGGAAGCCGTTAGCCGGGGTCGGAATTTCTTTGCGATCAAAGTGTCGACAGGGTAGGTGCTGAAATGCTCCCTTAGGAGGGAGGTCACCCAGCACTGTCCCTACCAGATGCTAGCTGAGCCCTCACCATGTAATGTTCTTATCAAAATTAGTTTTTATGAAACAGGCAATATATGCTATTATTTTAAATATAAACTGAAATGATCATCCTGTCTTGCTACAAAAATTACATGACTGTAACAGACATCCCTTTGTATTTTTTTTTTTTTGAGACGGAGTTTCGCTCTTGTTACCCAGGCTGGAGTGCAATGGCGCGACCTCGGCTCACCGCAACCTCCGCCTCCTGGGTTCAGGCAATTCTCCTGCCTCAGCCTCCTGAGTAGCTGGGATTACAGGCACGCGCCACCATGCCCAGCTAATTTTTTGTATTTTTAGTAGAGACGGGGTTTCACCATGTTGACCAGGATGGTCTCGATCTCTCGACCTCGTGATCCACCCGCCTCGGCCTCCCAAAGTGCTGGGATTACAGGCTTGAGCCACCGCGCCCGGCTATCCCTTTGTATTTCATGGTATATTAAGGCCTTGAATGTGCTTTGGTGTGTCTCTGTCATTTTAGGTTTCACGTGACAAGGCGTGAGGACTGTGTCAGTGTCACCCTCGGCCTGTCCTTCCTTCCTCTGGACCAAGGACTCTGACTTCCAGAGGTGGTAAATTACTCTGGAAAGAATTACTCCCTTGTCTCTTGCAAAGCAAGACATAGGTGGATGTTAATTCAAACTTGAACGATATCAATGGCAAAGCACAAACGTCTGGCCCTGTCTCCACCGTGGCATGCATGACTGAGGGCCTTAGGATCCAGAAGCTTCCATCAGGCATCTGACAAAGAGCTCTGGCTTGGGGGCCCTGCATGTGAGGTGGGGCTGCGTTACCGCTTCTCGTCTTCCACTTGCACACCGATGGAGTGGTACTCCCGCAGGCCGCGGCTCTCCGTGTCGGAATCCGTGGCCGGTTCCACCTAATTCAACATAGAACATCTTATTTTAGAACTGAAACATGGGGCCTGGGCAAGGGACTATTTTGTGGTTGTTGATGATTTGCTGTAATTAATTATGCATTTGTTTAATGACTGCAGAGATGCTCTTGACCCAGTAAAATCGCAGAGAGGGAAACGCATTCACATGGGTGTAATTACATCGCTGCTGCGTTTCATCACGTTTTACACAACTACCTGAACTCAAGGCTGCACTTTGGTCTTTTAACTGTATGCAAATAAAACTGCTTAGTTCAGTTCAGGCAAAAAATAGGTTTTGTTGAACTGTGTTACTACAGGACTTAAAAGCTCTTATCACACCCTACAGTGAAGAAAGGAAGTACAGCAAGAACCGAACATAGCTAACGACAACAAAGAAGCGATTTAATAGAATTATACTGATGGCTGCATCCACATACAAAAAGACACAGAAAGGAATTTAAGCATTTATCGGAAACATCAAGGCAAACTCTCCACCTTCATCTCCATAGAGCTGTCTCATGTCTGCCAAGGGGACGGCCAGCAGGGTGATATCAGTTCAGAACAGAAATCGGGTATTCCACAGAGAATTCTTATTGTGGCCATGTTTGCCAAAAAGTCCTCAGAAACCCACAAAGCATTTTAATGATCATCACCTATGTAAAGTTATCCCACAAGGGAATTCTACTGCAGTACGTTTTCAAAAACAAAACCAAAAAACCCCCAAAGTCTCAGTAGCAAAACTCTGTGAAACCAAAGGTTAGTTAACCCATTAATATTTTCCAGGCACTGAGTCATTCCTCGTTCCAGAAAAATATTACCTATTAAGTGGACTGCTGACCCCTCTCTGAAATGTCACAGCTAAGTTATATCGCTTTTCTTGAAAACTATTACTGATCACTACAAGGAAAAGGTGCATTAAACAAATAATGATGACCCTGTCCTCTGTGAGTCGGAGAGGAGCTGCAGTTTGTGACTGTTCTGAGGGTAAGCCTGTGTCAACAAGGACTGGCTCTGATTTGTGGCTAAGAGAGCATTGTGGTAACAGCAAATATTTCGTTGTTGCCTACCCTGCCCCAGGCACCATGCCAAGGTTAGAGCCTTACCACACATAATCCACACAACAACCCTGCGGATGTTTCCAGCCCTAGGAGAGAGTTGGGGGATCAGAGGAGGGGTGACCTGCTCAGGGACGCCCAGCTGCTTGAAGGCTGAGCCAGGGCTCTTGCCCGGATCTCTCTGACCATGAAGCCATGTGCAGCATGGAAGGAACAGCACGAGAAAACCCTGGAGCTCTTGGCTGGCTACAGAGCCAGGGGACTGACCAGAAACCACACTTTCCCTGGTGTAACTCTGGAGACAGGCGCAGAAGCTGTCCCTCAACTGTGATGCACGTTCTGACAGGTGGGTGAGATGGGCTCTGGGAGGAAGAACATCCTTGAGTGAAGACGCTGGCCTTCCTGTTAGGATTTACCATATTCCCGTCTCTAGTTTTAAGTGGGTCATGACTTTATTAAACCTTACCTTGCATGACACGAAGATTATTAGTGTTATTTTACACAAAAGGATTGTAATAGAATTAATAGATTTAAAATGCCACGTCTGTACATAAGGAGCAGCCTTGTGTTTTAACTACAAAGGATTCCATTTTATGAACATAGCCTAGTGCATTTAATGAACCTTCAGTAGAGGGTAAATGTAGTTGTTTCTAGTTTCTGCCATTACAAATGATGCTGCTATAAATACACATCTGTACTCGTATGAATGTGAAAACTTCCGTGAATATATTCACCTGATAGGAGGTCTGGGTCAGAGGCATTGCACTTTTTGGTAGATACCGTCAAATCTGATATGAGTGAAATACATTCAAAGGAATGCTGTTAAAGAGATTTTACAAAAGAGCACTCGTTTTTATCATAAAAATGTGGAGAATATTTTGTCTCACTTACTCCGTTTCTAGGAATCCAGCCTAGACAAAGGATCGTAATTTGTGACCAATGTGTGAGGTGTTCATTGCAGCATTATTTATAAGGTGGCACCTGAGGAGAATGAGGGTGAGACAGTGGGACAGGAACGTGCAGCAAGTCATGATTTACTTGTGAGAGTGGCTCATGCCTGTAATCCCAGCACTTTGGGAGCCTGTGGCAGGAGGATCACTTGAGCCCAGGAGTTTAAAACCAGCCTGGGCAACATGGCAAGACCCCGTCTCTTAAAAAAAAAATAGCTGAGTGGTGGTGCCTATGGGACCAGCTACTCGGGAGGCTGAGGCAGGAGGATCGCCGGAGCCTAGGATATTGAGGCTGCAGTTAGCTGTAACTACACCACTGCACTCCATCCTGGGCAATAGAGTGAGACCCTGTCTCTCAAAAATAAAAAGACGGTGATAAAGGTAATAACCCCCAAAATGCTTATAATACAGACTTTAAAACACAGACTAACAGATGCTATGAACAACAGAATTACCAGGTGCATGCACGCATGTAGCAACACACTCACACTGACAGGTATGTACGTGTACCATGGAAAGGATGAAAAACGCAACAAAGTAACAAAAGGAGCTTTTCCTTCCTTGGTCTCCAAATTTTCTCTAATATATATTTTTATGGTGAATTAGAAAAAACACAGCTTCTGGAGCAGGTCAGATTCTGCTACTTGCTAGCCAGGCAACTCTTAGGAAAGTCTCTAAAATTTTGTTGAACTTTTGCTTCCTTGTCTCTAAAAAGAGGGAAACACCCAATGCCTGAGTGAACTGATGGAAAACTCTCAGCATGAGGCCCGATTCAGGTAGGTTTGTTCACAGCAAGTGCTAATTCCCTGTTCTCTCATCTCAGTGTTGAGGACTGTCAGGTGAATAGCGGTATGACATGGAATGCGCTTGCCTCTGAGGAACTCTGCAGATTTTATACTGGCTGTCTTGTGAACTCTTTCTAAGGCAAACTCTGAGGAGGACATGTAAAATCACACGTGGGCAGCAGGCGCTCAGTATTTATCCATTTCAGAAATCCTGGGCAGACGGAGGCTTCATGTGAGACAGAAGAGCAAATCTGGGACAAAGAAAAGACTTTTCTACAGTGGAAGGGAAATTCAAGTCTCTTCCAAAGGTAATTCTGGCTAGAAGTGTAAGTGGATTTAAAAAGTTCTGAGGCCAGGCACGCTGGCTCACACCTGTAATCCCAGGGCTCTGGGATGCTGAGGGGGAGGATCACGAGAGCCCGGGAGTCTGAGGCTCCAGTGAGCTATGACTGCACCATTGCACTCCAGTCTGGGCAACACAGCAAGACCTCATCTCTTATCAAAAGTTTTGAAAAATATAGGCATGCAAGGAACATATGAATGAGCAAAATCACTGTCCCACTCCCATGGAGTCACAGGTTAGCTGTGGCATCAAGGCCAGCCAGCCGCCTCTGAGCCCGGCTTCTGTAGGGATGCTGAGAAAATGAATGTGGGCGGGGCTGGCGGCAGGAACCCTTCACCAGTAATACTGGGCCAGAGTGCCAAGCTGTAATCTTTGCTCTCCCAACAAGCTTGTTTTCTGCTCTTCCTTCAAAACCTCACACAGGACACAGTGGGTACCCTGGATTTGATACAAACTCCCTCTCCCTGGGAGACGTGCTCTGCCTCCAAAAGTCAGGGGTGAGTCGCCAGCTCTGCTGCCTGTGAGGCTCTGAGCTCCAGGGAAGAGCAGCTGACTGTGCCTGGAGAATCGGGCAGGACATTCAGAATGGACAGCCACAGAGGCTTTTCCAGGCAGTTCCTGCCTTCTCACAACCTGGTGAGAGATCACAGAGTAGAAACTCATCTCATTGGCTGGGCGTGCTGGCTCATGCCTGTAATCCCAGCACTTTGGGAGGCCAAGGCAGGTGGATCACCAGAGGACAGGAGTTCCAGACCAGCCTGGCCAGCGTGGTGAAACCCCATCTTTACTAAAAATATAAAAGCCAGGTGTGGTGGCACGTGCCTGTAATCCCAGCTACTCAGGAGGCTGAGGCAGGAGACTGGCTTGAACCTGGGAGGCGGACAATGCATTGAGCCGAGATAGCACCACTGCACTCCAGCCTGGCCAACGAGCAAAACTCCATCTCAAAAAAAAAAAAAAAAACAACCAACAAAACAAAACAACACCAAAAACTTGATCTCATTTATAAAGATGCGGCTCCCCATGCACCAGGGATGGAAGGATCCTGCATGTCAGCCTAGGCCTCTGGCCCACCTAACTGCAGGGTCTGGGAGCTGTAAACATGTCTGCAGAGTTCCCCGAACACAAACATGCACACACAAGAAAAGGGAAAACTCAGCAGGACAGACAAACCGCAAAGCATAAAACGAGAGAACATCCAAACGGTCTCATCGTAACCACGAAAAGCGGGGTCAGGCCAGACCGTGAATTCTGGGTCAGGGGAGCTCCCCAAGGCGCTCAGCTGTGTCCACAAGCTCTCCTCCTCATCCGAGGACTGGCCTATGAGTGCCAAGGCGGGGGCCCATTCTGGCCTATGGGCAACTGGCCTGCACATCTGCAGCTCTGATGAGGCCTGGGTGAGTGTCCTGCTGTAAGGGCCAGACTCCTGTGGCCGTGTCCAGCCACCTGAGGAACAGGGGCCTTGCAGCTAGGGAGGGAGGGAGGGCGGGGCCATGGGGGATGTGCGCTGAGGACCCGCACTCACTGGGGATCACATCAGACACAGCCCAGTAATTATCGTGAGAATCCTGAATTCAAACCCTGATTGTGAAAGGTCACGCGACGCCCAATGCACTGGGGAGCTGCCTGTGGGACGGTGCCACCGCCGCCCCCCACTGGAGCTCGCTCTCTGTGTGCTCTCGAGTCACAGAGGGTGTGAGCTCCACATAAGGTATGTTCAGTGGCACAGATGCTGTTCACTTGTAGGAATGACAGTGGCAGAACACAGATTCTCCTGCTATCTGCACTCTGACATGACTGCCCCCAAAGGTCCCTGGAGCTGTGGCTCTGGGAAGCCAGTTCCATTAAATGCTGCTTGAACACACATTAGCCAGCTTTGCCTGCGAGCTAGGGAACAGCATGATGCCTGCCCCATATCCCAGGAGAGGAAAAGAACCGGGGCAGGTCCTGAGGGTATGGCATCATTTTGGGATTTTCTCCTCTGAGAAGGAGAGCGGAGGGGCGGAGTGGAGGTAGGCTCCAGGTTCTCACGCGCTGGCTTCGCTTGTGGCCTGGCTGTGCACCTGCAAGTCACTGACCCTCCCTGAACCTCAGTTTTCCCATCCGAAGGCTGGGCACAGTAACAACCAGCACACAGGGTTATTGTGAGGATTAAATGACGCCTGTCTCAGCCTGTCACCTGCCCTGACAAGCTGACGACCGCAGCTCCTCTCCCGAGGCCTCCCAGGCACCTGCCCTGGGAGAATCCCCCTTTCATCCACCTCATTCTTCACTTTTCCTCCTCCTCTGCTCCTGGACTTGCTTCAATTCTTTCTCTGGCTGTTTTCCTTATCCTGACACTTGAGTACATTTGCCCTGTGGCTTTTCAAGTCACCGCCTTTGGATAACTGAGCTCACCAGCTCACAGGATGCACAGAAAACACACAGGATCGTGCATTTGTTTTTCTTACTGCCATGAAAGGTGACTTCGTCATCCACCTGCATTCCTGCCTTTGCATCTATCCTCACCCAACACGCACCCAGAGGCCCATCCGTCCACTCACTTTCCCGACATTTACCGAGCACTCCCTATGTGCCAGGCACAGTGCTGGGTGCAGGGCGGCAAGAGGCTGGGAGCAAGGTCCCCCCTCACAGGACACATGTCGGGTGCTGGGGTCCAGAGTCTCTCCCATAGGACACAGTGTGGGGCATGGGGGTCCAGAGAGGCCTCTGGGAAGGGGTGAAGGCATGGGCTGAGCTTCGCAGGGGAGGCAGGGGATGAGAAGCCTGCACTCAGCAGAGGTGGCTGTGCGAGGGGTGGGAGCTGGGAGCGGAAGAGGGCTGACCACAGAGGGGTGTGGGGTCCTGGCTGTGGGTGGGGCAGGAGGCAGTGGCATTGTGCCCAGTATGCTGACCTGAGATTCCAAAATTATGTCCCACTCCTTTCAGATCAAGTCTGTACTGCAGGTGCTCAGAAGTGGGCACTGCCTCAGTCTTGGCTGAGTGGATGTGGGAGTTGGCCGGGGAGAAAAGAGAGAGGGCGTTGAGTGCCTGGCAGTGCGAAGCTGCCTGGCTAATTTGGGGACCTCTCCAGTCTCTACTGCAGACGTGACTCCGGAGATGGAGACGGATGAGGGCACCCTGCCTTTCCCGCTTACAGGAGCCAGAGCCCAGCTAGGCCCAGGGCTGGGGCAGTTAACGGACCCTGGTGAGCCCCTCGTCCTTGTTAGAGGGGACAGGTGGGGGCACCCAGCATAGTGCCTGGCATATAGAATCAGGACAGAGAGAGGCGACAAGAGCGGTCGCATCAACATCCAAAAAAAGGAGAGAAAATAAAACTCATGCGGACGCGGCTTTGGAGCACATTTTGGTACTTACATCTGACCTTGGGTATGGCTGGTGCTCTGGGAATTCAGAATCCTAAACAAAACAATGAAGCCACAGTGTGGAGACCTGGTTCAGAGGCCCTGGGCCAGCGGGCGGCTCCCCCGCGTTCTCCGCCCGCACGCCTGGCTGCCAGGGCCTCACGGCCCGGCTCTCACACATGCTCCACTCACCCTCCGCCCTGGGCCGCCCCAGTGGCATCCAGCGTCTGACTGTTAAAGCTCCGAGGAACGCACACTGAATGCGGGGGGGAAGGAAGCAGGAGGTGGGCCATGTTGGCAGCGGGCTTGGTGGCCAGCCCTGCTCAACCGTGCCTGCCAGATCCCGGAGGGATGCACTTGACCCAGACCACGGGACACTCTCCCGGCCCCACAGGGTGCACAGTGTGGTACCTAACACAGAGGTGCGTGGGCGGGAGCTGGCCAGAGCCGGCCAGAGCTCTCTATTCACGGGGAAGAGAACCATCCGCCACATCTGTATTTTGGATAGACATTTGGGGGCCCGAATGGACAGTGGATCATTTGTCTGTGGTCTGAAACCACGGATGCCGCATCTGTGACGGCCGCTGACGGGCCTGCCCGCGCCTGTGAGCACCTGCTGGTTCTGCACCGAGGCAGCCTGCTTTTCCTTTTACCTTTTCTTTCCCAACACCTTCTGGTTCCCCCATTCAACTCTTTGGCCACAATACTGAAAGCTTTTGAAAAATCAGGCTTCAGCAGAAACCCTCCCTTTTAAGCCTCGAAATAATGTTATCTCCATACTCTGCAGGCAGCCTCGGACCCTTGGAAAACGCGCGGCCAGGAGTGTGTGTTCAGGGTGGCAGGGGATGAGGAGCTGGAGCCCCGGGTTTCCTTCAGCCCCGCGGCGGGGTCCTAGTGGCCTCGGGGGTCTCCCGCCTACTGCCTGCGCTGGCGGGTCCGCAACCTGAACGCACAGCCTCGCTCTCAGGTTCTGTGGCCCTGCTGAGGGTTGCGGTCACTGCTAAGGAGGACCCAGGGCCGCTGGCCGGGTTTGCATTTATTCTACGCCACCTGCAGCACTGACTGGAGCCAGGCCCCGACGAGCGCCCACGAGCGGCTACCTGAATCCCGATGGAGGAGCAGCGGCTCTTGAGGAGCTCCTCCGCCTTGGACACCAGGATGGCTTTGTCGCTGGTCCGGATGGAGCCGCTCTGGCCGTCAGCCATGTGGCGCTGGGCTGCGGCCGTCTCCAGGGCAAGGTTCATGGCCTTGTTGCTGTCCAGGCTGTCCGTGGAGTTGTAGAGGCCGCGGCCATCCTGGGGCCATGGGGACATCCTCTGGGCGCGGCTGTCCTGGTAGGCATCCTGGGTGGATTCGGTGCTGCTCTGCGCCGTCACCGAGATCAGAGGCTTGGAGGTGGTCCGAGGGGGCACTGGCGGGGGCGTTTTCTTGTAATTTGTATATGAGACAGCTGTAAGAAAAGGAAGTCCCAAGTCAAGCAGTGTGTTCTCCCCCCTCAGTACCTGGGCGACCGTTTCCCCACGCCCACCCCTGTCGTTGAAGGAGCAAGTCTATTCCCAGACATCTACCCCAAGAAAATAGCATGAAACGTGGGGAAATGAGACGGCATACGGGAACATCCTTGTAACGCTGCAGGATTATAAAAACACCAACGAACTCAGCAGCAAAGATGCAGCTAAGCAGAGCGTGTCCCCGCAGGACAGCGCGCAGGCGTGGTGTCATTCCTACGCAGGTCACGTCATCAGGGAAGATGCTCGTGCTGTCACGCTTAGTTAAAATGCAGGCAGGATGCTAAACTATGCATGGGTCAAGGTGGAATCCGTTAGTGCAGGAAACCTGCGTGTGAGGAAAGATCACGGCACCTGAAGATGTTCATGGAGGCTGCTGAGTGGCAGGACGGGCCCTGTGTGCTCTCGGGCTTGTGTGTTTTTCTAAAAATCACTATAATGAACAGCTACTGTTTTTTAATGGAGAAAATAGACAATAGCAGAAACTTATTTGCTTCCCTGTAAGTACAGGTGCCATAGCTTTAAGTTGTACGAAGTCCACTGAAAAGGGGCTGGCTCTATGAATCTGAGCTGGGCCAGGCCACACTCGCCAGTGGCCATCGCCAGCCAGTCTCCTCCCGAGCCGCACTGCACGGCCTTCTGTACCACTGGCTGTGCAGCCAGACAGGCCACCTAAGCAAAATCAATGCATCTGGAGATGAAGACCATATTAAATATGCCTTGGAAGCTACCGGAAATGCATGTGATACCTTGGCCTGGACTCAGGGTATGACATTTTTATAGAGGATGAACTGCCCAACATTCTCCCTCACCAGAACCACGTGTCCATTAGAGTCAATCATTTTCCTCTATTGTGCAGGAAGAGCTGATGAAAGTGCTTCTTGACGGGAAGCCTGCGCCTTCACCACCTCCCACCACACACATACGGTGAGAGGCACCGCCAGGCGTCTCCTGGAGGGGTCTGAGCACCATCTGAGGACAGACCGAGGGGCAGTTTCCGCAAGGACTTCCGGACGCCATGCCCGAGAGCGGAAACACATCCTTTCTGTGTCTGTTTCTGTGGGCTGCAGGGCACTTGGCATTCCTCACCCCCTCCAGTTATTTACTTTTTAAAATTGCATTTTAGGTTTGGGGGTACATGTGAAGAACATGCAAGACTGTTGCATAGGTACACACACGGCAGTGTGCTTTGCTGCCTTCCTCCCCCTCACCTAGATCTGGCATTTCTCCCCATGCGCTCTCTCCCAGCTCCCCACCCCCCAGTCCCTCCCCTCCAGTTATTTTTGTGTGAGTGGAGTTTCTGCACCCTCTTTAACTTCTTATCTTATCCCAAGAAAACACGGACGAACGACAAAATGAGCCTGCCATTCCGATGACCTGCGCCTTAAGGCATAACGTTACATTAAAAATTTTTTTAATTTACAAAGCGGATACTTTTTTTTTTTTTTTTTTGGAGATGGTGTTTCACTCTTGTTGCCCAGGCTGGAGTGTAGTGGAAGGATCTCAGCTCACTGTAGCCTCCACCTCCTGGGTTCAAGTGATTCTTGTGCCTTAGCCTCCCATGTAGCTGGGATTACAGGCACCTGCCACCACACCTGGCTAATATTTGTATTTTTAGTAGAGACAGGGTTTCACCATTTTGGCTAGGCTGGTCTTGAACTCCTGACCTCAGGTATCTACCTGCCTCAGCCTCCCGAAGTGCTGGGATTACAGGTGTGAGCCACTGAGTTGGCACAAAGTAGGCACATTTTTAAAAAGCATGCATTGGAAAGAGAATCTGAGGGCTGGCAGACTGAGGAAGGGTGATCAGATGTTAAACCAATCCGTTGCTGAGCTGCCCCTTCACCAGAGAAACATCCAAAATCCTCTGTTCCTCTTCTTTTCTGTGCCTGAGTTTTCCCCCTAATGTCAATCAATCCCTTAAGGAAAATTATTGACAACGGACAATATTCAAGGCACTATTTTAGGGGATTCACAAAGTCCCCAAGACTGCTCCATCCAAAATGCCAACAGTGCCAGGAAGAGAGCAGAGTTAGGAAGTCGTTTTCTTTCTGGGTAGGGTGGATCTGGTTACCATGCATTCACCACACCTTGGCAGGGGTGAGGTCCATTTAAACACTAGCTTCTCATGCTGCCTTTCCTGACAGTGCCTCATAACACTGATTTATCAAGGGCATTAAGTGTGACACAGACACATGAACAGAGAGACGCTGGGTGGAGGTGTGAAGCGGGCTCATCGATAAAGGGGTTTCCATGTGACAGTCCTGGAGAGTAGGCGGCGGTTTTCACATTAACCCATTTGTCATGGTTCATTTACAGAAAACAGAGTCTTTCTCATTAATGACACATCTCCAGATTCCACGGCCCTAGCAGAAGGCAGGCCCGGTGTCCCCTTGCACGCCAGGGCAAGCCTGCAGACGGGGTCTCGGTGACCTCTCCAGGGGCGAAGCTGGCTCTGCTTCGGTTCCCTTAAGCAGAAATATTGATTCCGAAGAGGTTTTCAGTCCCAGCAATAGGGGTAGTAACAATCAAAAGCAAGAGAGACGTGGGAATACAGGTTAAAATGTGACATCTGCCTTAGTATTACATTTTTTTTTGCCAAGTTTGAGATGAGTAGAAAGGTGATAATAAACACACCTAATTGGTTGGATTTTCCCAGCTAGGTTCACCTCAGCTGTGAACGATGGCACAAATGGAAGCATCACAACTAAGTCACCACACGTCACAGGCCAACGCAACAGGAAGGAAAGTAGTGACCTTTCCGAACAGTTAAGCAAATGCACGCAAATTCGCCCCCAGTGTGGCTCATTATGTATTTAATAGTTACTCTCAAAGGCCTCCCGTCACCACGGTTCAAAATCATAGACCTCACCAAATATGTTTTAATCGAAAGAGTCCGAAAAATTTTACAAAACTAAACCTTCCTTCCTATACGGAATGTCTTGTAAATTAAAAAAACGTATGGGTCAGGTTATCACTCATCTCCATGATCATAGGAAAATCACATTTTCTCACTTTATCATATGTTTGCTACAGGCCAATGAAATGATTTTTTAAAACTTAACTCTTTGTAAAAATGTAGTTGCATGCCGTACTTTTAAAACAAATTAATTAAGAAGAAGCAGTTTACCTCCAGCTTATAAAAAGAAGAATTTACTATGCTCCACCTGGGAGGGCACGCAGAGTGCTTTTTCCTGAATGACAAAAGAGGACATGCTGTTTCCAAATTTGTGTGCATATGCCTGCCAGGCTGTTCTCAGAACCACTAAAAGGCAAACATGGTTTGAAGCAATGAGCTGTGCTGCAGAGGTGCAGAGATGACCACTCACTGACTATCATAAAAGTTACGCTTAGATCTCTTCTAAAAGAGTCTTGTTTTTCACTGTATCCGCAAGCCGCCAATGTCAAAGTCATTATTTAGGCTACTGTATTCTGTGAATCCACATTTTAGGATGTAAATCCAAGTATTTTTTTTTATTGCTTCAAACAACTGCTTACTGGCGTTGAATCTACAACACATCACCAGTTTCACTGTGATAACCACAATGATGTTTTATGAGGACGTGCTGTTCGACCTGAGTGTCCATACGGTTGCTGTTACCATATGGGTTTTCCAGAGACCACGGGTAAGGAGGCTGAAGAGCCCTCGGCTTTCTTCAACATTGGGCTCTGACGTCAGGTACCTGGCAAGCTTCACTGTGGGTATACGTTGTGAGATGCACTGCTTTCAGGAAGCATCTAGCTAGAGCCTAAGAGCCTGGTCCCAGCGTGCTCCATAATCACACGGAAAAGGTGGGTCTGAGAACCAAGCCTGCAGCATCAGAGACTAGCGATGCCCAGAGAGAGACGCGGGCTGAGGGAAGCCTCCCGGGGCAAGCCTGGCATGCCTTGAGAGGGATGGAAGCGGGAAATGGAAAGAGCCAGTGGACATGACTCGTCCTAGACACATCAATGCTACCATGGAAAGGGCTGGCAGACACAGCCTGTGTCAAAGATGCACCAGTGCCACCACGGGAAGGGCCAGAGGACACGGCCTGTGTCACAGACGCACCGATGCCAACACGGGAAGGGCCAGAGGACATGGCCTGTGTCATAGACGCACCGATGCCACCACAGGAAGGGCCAATGGACATAGCTTGTGTCAGAGACGCACCGATGCCACCACTGAAGGGCCAGAGGACACGGCCTGTGTCATAGACGCACCAATGCCACCACAGGAAAGGCCTGAGGACACGGCCTGTGTCAGTGATGCACTGATGCCACCACAGGAAGGGCCAGAGGATGGCCTGTGTCACAGACGCACCTATGTCACCACGGGAAAAGGGCCAGAGGACACAGCCTGTGTCACAGACGCACCGATGCCACCATGGAAGGGCCAGAGGACACGGCCTGTGTCACAGATGCACCAATGCCACCACAGGAAGGGCCAGAGGACACGGCCTGTGTCACAGATGCACCGATGCCACCACAGGAAGGGCCAGAGACATGGCCTGTGTCACAGACGCACCGATGCCACCACAGGAAGGGCCAGAGGACATGACGTGTGTCATAGACACACCAATGCCACTACGGAAGGGCCAGAGGACACGGCCTGTGTCACAGATGCACTGATGCCACCACAGGAAGGGCCAGAGGACACGGCCTGTGTCACAGATGCACCGATGCCACCACAGGAAGGGCCAGTGGACACGGCCTGTGTCAGAGACTCACTGATGCCACCACAGGAAGGGCCAGAGGACATGACGTGTGTCATAGACACACCAATGCCACTACGGAAGGGCCAGAGGACACAGCCTGTGTCACAGACACACCGATGCCACTACGGAAGGACCAGAGGACACAGCCTGTGTCACAGATGCACTGATGCCACCATGGGAAAGGGCCAGAGGACACGGCCTGTGTCACAGACGCACCGATGCCACCACCACGGGAAAGGCCAGAG